CAATATACAAACATACTTACCGCCTACAAACAAATTCCATCGTATACGACTTATGGAATTCGCGTTAACCAAAATAATACATCAGCGTTTTGCCACCATATGGCAAAACCGCGGACGTGTGTTTTTTATTTTCATAAGAAACGTTTCGGTTTGTTAACACGAAATGTGCCCTCCGTTAAACGATGCCCGTTGGTAATATTAAAAATAACAACGCGATTCAGTCGAGGTTTCGGCAATTTGACAATGATTGTTTTTTTGGAAAAATTTAGTCTAAATTGTAAAACCTAGGCCCTTATTTACTGGCGGTAGCGTTGTTGACACTAATCGGACAGAAACAACAGGTTAAAATGGTTGAACGGGTGGTTTGACAGGTAGATTATAATTTTTATCGCATACAAGTAATATTTAAAAAAATACCAAAAAGTCATAATTTCCAGTCCGCCATGACCACGTGCATACATGGGTGGCCTCATCGGAAAAAGATCCAGGATTTGAAATTTAATATTTTTTATCGATGAATTAACCATTGTCGACGATGATACGACGACAATTTGTTCGACTGTTTTTTCTTGCGACTTGTTAAGTCGCATTTATGAGGTGTATCTTGTTCGATAGTAACGTCTTGACTCTGTCAAATTGTACGCATAATAAAATTTGTTCCAAACCCATCGTCCATCAGCGCCGTGCAACGCATATTATAATGTTGCCAAATGTGGCGTTATAAGTTATAACCATTAAAACACATGTGTTTTAAAAAAAAAAAACTATGCGAAGAATCCAATAGTTTTAATTTATGATGTGTTTACCATTAGAATAAAAGATAATTCAAATAATATGTTTAAAAACCCGACAACATTAGTAATTGGATGGATACAACTTAATTTGATCTTGGGTCTGTCTTTGCTAGTAATTCTTTGTCATTGTACAAGTAGACAACATCGAAATAGACCATAAAATAAAAATGTTACACAGATACCTTTTGAATGTCGAATCATTCACAAATAGCAACCTGGAAATGTATTACGGCCAAAGTGCAGTTATTCACTTTTTCGAGTAGTTTTCTATAATAAAGAAAAGTTTTATTACAGATTTTTGATAAATATTATATAGCCCCACCATAAAATATCTGCCTTCAGCCTAATTGTCATATCTTAAGTGCCAAAACTACGCTAAAAAAAGCGAAACAAAAGAAAAGTATTAATCTCTTTTGGGGGAAGGGTGTTTGATGTATATATTTTTTGTGGTTTATCAACGTATATGGCTGACAGGAAATCTAAAGAATTTTCCATACAGATTTGAAACTAATTGGACTATTTTTTAAAAAATTATAGCGCACCGTGAATTTGAGTTATAAAACATGTACATTTGTTGGGTGTCTTTCTAGATTTTTAATGGAAAGAGGTGAATTTTTTTATATTCTTTGGTACCTAACTTCTTATTTCTGATCTGTAAATATACCTTCTCGGCTGAACAACAAAGTTAAAAATGTGTTAAAATTATTTTTTGGCCCTCTAGAAACTTTTTTTAAGTTTTCATTTTTATGTCACATTTTAAATGTACGCTAACCCAAAAATCTGGTCTACACTTATCGTTACTATACTATATTGGCACCGTTCGTACTATTAAACACATGTACAACGGTTTGTTATAGTACCGCGATGATTATAATTTGTTATATGTGCATATATATATATAGAGAGAGAGAGTTATTTTTTTTTTATATGCGAGGGGATAGTCGGTGTTGTATGCATAATAATAAACAAAACTGGGATGACTTTATTGGCGATAAACGATCGTCGGCTAAGTGTACTAATAATTTATCTAGGATCTATCTGGCGCGTTAAACTGGAAAGGCGCTTGTCCGCACTTGGCGACAGTATATATTATTATTATTATAATAATAGTAATGGCGGCGATGGCCCAGTTTCGCGGGCGCTCTTTAATAAATTTAACCGGCGATAACTTCATAATAACAATAACGTAACGTTATTATTATTAACACGATATATGCACACACATCGCTTCGAAAATAGTGTCTGTGTGTGTGTGTGTGTGTATTGGAGAGACACGGGAAAAGTGTGTGAAAGAGCAAGAGCAAAATATAAGAGTATTGAAGGGAGAGAAGAAAACAAATATCTGCCACGTTGTTACAAGTATGATATATTATAATATACTTGAAATTCCCGTGTGGAATTTTAATCTGAAATTGGCTCGAGTCACTCGCCAAAAGCAGATTCTTATATTGCCATAGTATAATTAGGCGCGTGCGCCATGTAATTGAAATCACGGGTGTATCGCTCCGGTAATCTGATATTTTGTCCATCCTGTTATATTTAGGAATCCATTATCATGTTAATGTCGACTAGTCGCTCCTTTTTCCTCCAGTACCCGTGTGTGTTAGCTCTTCTACTCTTCCGCCCGAGGCCGAGGCGGTCGAATTATAAACGCTAGGTTTTCGTTATTTTTTTTTTAAAGATAATATTTTTTTTTTTTGACTGGGAAAATAGCGTCATCAAGACACCGTAAGGTTAGGTAGGTTAGTGAAGGAAGGAAGGAAGGAGAAGAGAAAATGAGGATCGGTGATAAGATACAGCTGAAAAGGGATCAGTGATGAAATATTAGTGATAAGAGACAGCTTATAATGGCTGATGATAAGGGATCAGTACTAAGAGATTAGTGATAATATGGATAGCTAATAATGATTGTCTTGAGGGGCTGAGGTCTATCTAGAATGTACAAGTGAGGGGAGGGGAGGAGAAAATGGGAAAGAGGAGAAATTATTTTATTTTTATTTAAGATTTACAATCTTGCTTCAAGGCGCAATAAGCAAATAAGATAACAATTTATGTATACAAACAAAAAAACAATGGTATCATATGAGGGGAGACACCGTCCATTAATAGAACCTTACGGCGATTTTCTCCATCAACGATTATGATATACAAATATAGATTTTTTATTTATTTTCGTCATTAGTAGGTCTCTGCGTTATTTTCTTCAATTGATGAACAATCGATGCGGAGTATTGAGTCAGATTATAGATAAATACCGAGGATCATAAGTTACCGTTTGAAGAGTGATCCACTGGAACGCTTATGAATTCGGGATGGTTTTGCACAGCCCCGAGTTTGAATTGTATATGCCCAAAACATGTCTTGAAAGAAATTCGCACTGTTTACATAAGGAGTTTCGTGTGTGGATTGACAGCACTTTCGGTTATTATAATCCCTAAAGACCTGTGACCTCCCTGTGATTACAATATGTTAACACGGATTTAGCCCACTGTGCGACATTCCAAACGGCGGAAAATGTGTTTGTCCGGATAGTGGTGACTAATCGCCATCTGCGAAAATGGCCTTCGGTATCGACCGGTCGTCGGTTGACCTTCCGCGGTTGATTCCGATTTATTTACTCTGGCACAGTCCACTTTGCCATTATGCATGTTAATATCGAGCCAAATTATTATTGTCTAACAAACGAACTTGACCCGTATAAAAAAACGCAGCCGCCCATAATATAATATAGAGTCGGGAGACAGCAGCAGCTGCAAACAAAGCTACGAGGATGATTATTATTATTATTACTTTTCATTTTTTACATTGTCCGTTCCTGGCAGAAATGTTCACGTTGCTATTACCGAACGAGTCGAACGAGATTGACGGTGTTGTCCCAACAGAGGTTATATCGTGGGGATTTCGCTCGCCCAATAGCTTTTCGCTTTGACCGGAATCGACGTGCAAAACTGACGATTTATTTTTGAACACTCGCTTGGAAATTTAAAAAAAAAAAAAATGACATGTGCCCGACTCGCGTTTGTCGTTACACACTTTTGGTGTGCACAAAGTATTCAGTCGTGCGCCACACACACTTAGCCATTGACCATACAAAATGATTGACTGGGCAGGATTATAAAAAGTTGCACGCAAAAGTCTTAAAAATGTACTCCATTTTATGTAAACGGTCCTCTTCGTATTTAAAATTGAAAGAACAACCTGAAAAGGTACATATTTGTTTACTTAAAATAACGGTATGCCATAATTTTTTTTAGAAAATACTTCCAAATAAATTGTGTTGGAAATTCTTTAGAAAAACAGGCCCAAAAAGTAAATAATTAAAAAAAAATATATATTTTCTTTAAGGAAAAACTGAAAAAAACAAATTTAAAAAAAGTTTTTCTTTGAAGGAAAAACATTAGGTCATGAATATGTCTAATGGTACATATTATATAAGTATGTTGAGAGTTTCTCCTATAAGATATGTTTGTCCTAACCTAACCTTTCCTATCTCCCTCTATCTACAATTTCCTTCTATTATACGTATTATACAAAGTATCCCTCAAGATTTGTATTAATTTCTAAAATTTTTAATTCGAAAGTAGTTAATATTTATAACCCAATGAATGGTTTGGAAAAAATACAATATAACAATCTTAATTTCTCTAGGTGATTTTTATATTTGGATACTACCCAACCGAAATGATCTGATATAAAAATGTCCTCAATAAATTGCATGAGACATTTTATATATTATATATCATAGCCATCGTAACATTTTATAGTTTAAAAAAGAAAAGTGGAAACGATTCGCAAAGGTTTTACTCAATTTTCCAGTCAATGGCAAACTGAAAGATAAAATACCAATTAAAGCTAAAGACTTCATATACATATAATAACAGGTTACAACAGTTTCAACGTTTTTCAATTTTTATAGTTTAACCCATCTTATTTGACAAATTTCACACTAAGATACCACCCCTCACTGGGGTTTGAAGTTTTTTGTGTTTTTTAGCCGCAAATATAGTCGAAAAGTATTTGTTTTACAATGATGTGTTTTTTTTTTTTTTACCTGTTACTTTTTTAATACCGGACCCCGATGTATTCCAATAATGGTATGCCCATATAGATCACAAATCGTATCTAGTCGGTACTTTGGATGGTTGAAAAAGTACTTATATCTTTGTGTTCGTCTCTGATTCTAAATTATTGTTTTGTATGTTCTAGAAATACCTATTACCGTTAAAAAGTACCGAGAACGCAGTCCTCATCGAACCGTCCGTAGTGGACGAAATTTTTTACCAAGTATGTAGCAACAATAATAATCATCATCTTATTATTATATTATATTAACTTCGACAGATACCAGAAATCCTGATGGAGCACGAACAGTTTCTGAAGGACTTGCACAAACGTCTCGAGATCTGGGACGCCCACCAGAGGATCGGCGACATCCTACTGGAAATGGTCAGTACTATATACTTTGAGGTCGAGAAACGTGTATAAAAAATAAAAAAAATAAAAATAAACTATATACTTTTGTTTTGTTTTTTTTAGTTTTCCAAAAAACCTGTGATAGACTCGTACACGTCGTTTATAAACAACTGGAAACAAGCCAAAGAAGCCATCAAGGCTACGTGCAATTCGAAGCCGGCTTTCGCGAGATACTTGGAGGTATTTAAAAAGAATTATAATATAATAATGAAAATGCGGGGCTTTTTAATTTTTATAGTATAAACTATCGAGAAAACGGTTCGTTAGTCAAATGCAGTAATGTGAAAACGCATAGAAGAATACAATTTAAATTATTTTTAAACAAATGTTTTTTTTTTATTGTTTCACAGTCAACCGCTCGAGAACACAAAGGCAAACTGGCGTTGGATTCGTTACTCATAATGCCTGTTCAGCGAGTACCCAGATACGAACTTCTCATACAGGTAACATGGTCGAATCAGACGAATTGTCTTAAACATAATATTATTACTTTTGCGCTACTCAAAAGTCAACAAAATATGATAAAAAAAGGCACCGTTAGTTTTGGAGTCGGACAAGATTTTTAATAAGATCATAAACTAAAAAAGCTAAGTTTCTATTGATAATAATAGATGGAAAAGAACTTGCAAGTCTCTATTTTTATAAATAAATATATATAAACATAAGACAATTTTGATTCACTCACACATAGCAACCTAGAAATTACCTACGGTCAAAGGGTAGTTTTACCCATTTTTTTGGTTTACCCTAATAAAAAAAAATATTGACAACATATTTTTGAGAAAATTGAATATACTATAGCCCTACTCTAGATCATACCGATTACCGAGTAAATTTTATTTGTTTTAACATAAAAATCAATTCACTGCTGAAAGTCGTTTTTCATTTTTGCTTTATCCGATGGACCTAGTCAACTGTACCTATATAATATTGAATAATAACCACTAAAAGTAGTATAGTGTTTTATCGTGCGATAAATTTGTTAAAGTGCTTTAGAAAACTATATCTGCTACTTGGAAAATGTGTCGTCCCTAGAGTGGAACATATGTTCTGAAAAAACCTTCCAAAAAAATACTTTTTTTTCAAACTTGTGTTGTAGACTTTGCTGAAGCACACCGAGCCGTCGCATCCCGACCACGAGTCGCTGATCGAATCGCAAAAACAGGTACACGAAATGGCTGTGAAAATCAATTGTACCGAGAAAGATAACATGGAGCTAGAACAGATTGAATCGCTCATCGACGGACTCATCCATCTGGCCGCCACCGACAGAACATTCCTAAGACACGATTTAGTGACCATAGTCTCCGGACAGTCGATGAACCGCAAGGAACGTGCGTTGTTCCTGTTTTCCGACCTGTTGATCGTCACCAGCATAAAAAAGAAAAGCGGCACCATCCGGAAACCTTCCACGTAATTATGTTTATTTTAATTTAGGTTTTTTTTTTTTTAAATCAATTTTTTAAACATCCTTAGTTAATGTTCAAACTGTCCAATAGAGAATCTGCCAGCAGAGTCGGGCGTTGTTCGACCGTTTTAACATGATAACGTTTTTAGACATTTTTATTTACGCTTCTATATACATTTCTAGCTTTAGCTCAAAAACTCATAATTTTCTTATTTAAACATACATTTTGAAGAGAAAAAAAATGTTATTAAATTGAAAAAAATAATTGATTATTCCAGTAATTTTGTTGCTAGTATGTTTGAATAAAAATGTTAATAATATCTTTACTATTTATATTCTTTGTAAAAATGATCATGACCTAACTTTAAGCTAACTCATAAATCACTTTTCCTTTGAATAATTTCATGTTCTTTAAAAATTATTCGAATAAAAAATACATCATTTTTTTATATAAATTAACAGCGCGTTACACTTATGTATTTTGTTTTGTAAAGATTATTGACAAATCGGTTTCTGAAGACTTTAGGGTGGCCTTATGAGTAAAATGACTTGTTACAAAAAATCTGAAGAGTATTACAAATACTTTTTGTTTAAAAAATAGGGGTTTGTTCGAGCAGTATTAAAAACACCCTTTAATTTTATCAAAAAATCCCTCGAATATAATATTTATATTCTGTGAATTTGATAACGGAAATTATAGCACTAAATTCTTCATGGACTTAGCCAAAAGGATTTAGCTATGGTGATTTAAAAAGATTAAAAAGTTGCCTATACTAAACTCCTTAATAAATAGCGTTGATTTAATTCGCAATTTAATTTTACGCAATTCTTGACAAGCAGTTATTTTTGTCAATGCCATAAAACTAACTTGACCGATACTCTTTTTGCAGAACTTCCCCAAACAGTGTGGTAAGCAATTTGGAAGCGAACAAGTACAAATTGCTCATGAAGATACCATTAGACGACGTTGAAATAGTCAAAGGTAAAAAAAAATTACTAGACTTCAATTATAAATTGTTAACGTTGAAAACAAAATAGTAAAATATTAAAGACTCCAATAAGAAAATAGTAGACTATTATAAATAGACTATACCGAGTAGACCGCTGTGGTAACCTGGATTGTTATTTTAGTGAAAGACGAAAACGTAAGACGTATGCTTCGTGAGATGGAGTACTTGTCAGAAGACGTATCTACCCTGACACAGATGACTGATATGGTTGCCATGTTGCATTGTCCGCACGGTCAACTGGAGGATTCTATCAAAGACATGCTGAGCGCTGTCAACAAACAACTGTCCGAACGACAGGCCAGTGATACTCAACTGTGTTATTTGGAACTGAACTTGCACACCAGGTAAAACCTGTCATGGCGACCTCGGCCTCTGGCGCTTAGTGTAGTCAGCGACTAATTATAGCTATTATGACAACATGTATAACGGTTTCCGTTTGTATTTCATTTGCAGAAATGGAACGGAGACGATATCGATAATGTTTTCCAAGCCGGAAAAACGAGCCAACTGGGAAGAATCGTTCAACGAAGCTAAACAAAAACTAGGTACACTCAACTTACTAGTTTCGCAGCATCTAGTCTTAGAACGTTAATAAGACTGTATAAAGTTAGAAAAACTCGGGTTAGGTTACACTTTGATCCAACACAAACTAACTTTCGCAAACCAGGCAAATCGTAGCTCCATCTCAGGCGGCTTGGACGAGCTCCGGCTCTCAATATTACTGATAATACTCTGCGCGGAGTGATGATATTTTTGACAAGACTTTTTAACTTAAGTATTTTTAGAGTGAAAGTTAGACAAGTTCAGGGCCATCAAAAATCGTTCAATCTGCGAAAAGCTTAGGTAGATCAATGAAACTTTGATACAAAAATCGTATCAAGCATCATGTATCAACAAGTTATAGAGGGGAGAGATAGTAATAAGTGTGGATGAGGGGGGCATAGAATCGTGATGAGGGGAAATCCATAGTTCCTGGATAACTGATGAAAGATGATTTTATAAGATGATCAGCTGACAAGAGACAGAAAGTCGGCTGATCATAGTCTTTCGTTCGAGGAAAAGTTTGAAGATTTTCTACTTTTATCGTTTTTCAGTGCTGTCGACCGATCGAAGACCTAATGCCGACTTCGTCGGTCCCGTGCCCATAAGGAAGACGAGGGCTGGTTTGCAATTTACTTGTGCGGCTCCGGCGCTGAACCAAAGAGATGTTTGGGTTTGCAACAGCGACGGATACGTCGGCCAGGTGTGCGTTTTGAGTCTGTATCCCGAACCGACGGTGACTTCTTGCAACGGGGTGTGCAACGCTCGCATACTGTGCGTCACTTCCATACCGGCTCCACAACGAGTAGAGTAAGTGACTCTTTACGACCCTTATATTACCTTGTACAACAGCTGCTATTGATAAAATTGATGTAAACGAAATGCTGCTGATTTCAGTCAAAACAGCGATGCGACCAAAGACGACCGGAGCGGCAATACCGAGATTAGCATATCAATAGAAGACACTGATCGAACGGGACCGGACATCAAGTTGGACAGGTGAGAGCAGTGTTTGCTTAAACGATAATAGTTCAAATGAGGTTTGTGACATGAATAATGGCCTAAGACTGAGAGAGTCAATTCCAAATTAGGGTTGACATTTTCTTGTCTAGACTTTACGATTTCATCAGATTGTCTAATCTCTTGTGATAGTAAAATTAGGGGGAAGGAGGAGAAGGGAAAGGAAATAGACATATTCGTGATCAAATATCTTTCGTAGTGATTTTTGCATTTTTTTCTGACATGAATATGGCGGGGGTCTGTCGAAATTGGCGTGACGCTTTTGTGACATATAGAGAAAGGGGCGGAAAAGGGAGGTGAGGGAAAATGATAAGTGTGAATGAGATGGAGAATCAGCTGATAAGAAATGGTTGATAATAAACGGAAAATCAGTTTGTTATAAGACGTATTCATGATCCGTTGTCTTTTCTTCAGTTGTACTTTTATTAAACAATGTCTATTTACTCCTTAGTTCGTCCAGCGAAGAAGACGATGACAAAGAACCCAACAGCGATAGCGTTCCCGACGGCCTTTACCCTCTGGATCCGGTTGACTTCGAGGGCGAGCCCACTATGTGGTTAGGCACCGAAGACGGTTGCATACACGTGTACAACTCAATGGACAACATAAGAATCAAACGGAATAAAGTGAAAATCCAACACGGATCAGCCGTGCACTGTATCATGTGAGCACAAGTTCTTTCACTTGAAGAGTGGAGTAATTGCATTTTTTAATTTATTACTATGTTTCAGCTATTTGAACAATCGGGTGTACGTTTCGTTAGCGAACGGCGACATCTGTATTTATTATCCGGACACAAGTGAGTGAGACGATACCAATTTGGTAAACTCCAATATGAGACTATGTATGTATGTATGATGTTTTTTTTTCCTTGCGTTATTTTAGATGGTAGTTGGAACACATCTGATCCGGTTACCATCAACGTCGGGTCGGCGGCCATGCCCGTTTCTAAAATGTTACCTGTCGGAGATAAGCTGTGGTGTTTGTGTCACAACACCGTTAAAATATTAGACACTATTACGTTACAATTCCAAGTATGTCTAAATGAGTTTATAGTTATTTAGCGACTATTTCAGGAATCCTAAAGTCAAAAATGTGTAAACGCAGAAGCTTTTTAACGAACTTGTATTTGATCTGTCACAACGATTGAAAAAGAAAAATCGTAACCTCCCGTACCGTACTTAACCTCCCGGGGAATTTCTATTTTACTATAATCTTCTCTAAATTTCCTATCATAGAAAACTGCTATCGAAAATTCATATGAATCCAAAATCGATAGCGACTCCCACGAGTGACTCAAAATTTCAACCTTTCCCTTGAAGGAGACATTGGATCATGAACATATATCTATCAATTATATTTCATCAGCTGATTCTCTTGTCAGTCATCTTTTATCAGTTGTTTACCATCGTCATAAATTGTTGTACAAAAAGCGTTTTATGAATTTCAAAGACCCTCTATCCAAAAGAAATGTCTATGTCAATTGGTCAAACCGTGTAGGAATTCCTGTAGGGTTCAAAACGGGAGTTCCTTGCAGAATTCCAGGATGGCTTTCAATCGATTTAAGTGACATTTTTACTAATGAATTTTTTCTTTAGCATACGTTTGTCATCGGTGGTGACTCGAACAGATCACTCACTAACATGGTCGTCTCCGGGATGGGCGTTTGGCTGTCGCTACAGAACTCGGCCGTACTCCGTCTCGTCCATTCCATTACATACGAAGTACTGGCCGAAGTGAATACGGCGCCGGCCGTTACTAAAATGCTCTCAAGTAAGTCGAAGTCGAAAATTCTGTAAACCCATGTTATTATTATCATCGATTTTAAAGTATACATGTGCTATACACAAAATCGATTGTTGTTTTTTAGTTAAACACCGCTTATCTTTATATTTAAAAACCAATCATCACATCGGTTCCGTATATTGACCTCTATCTTACGGACTTGAAAATGTACTTGAACGCCATTTAAATAACGCCGTGTTACTTACTTACAGGCTGTGATGATATTATAAGGCAACACAAAGCGGCGTGTCTTCGAGTCACGTCTCTGTTGGCGGTCAAAGACCTCTTGTGGATCGGCACCAGTGCGGGTGTCGTTTTAACCATGTCCATTCCAGCTGTAGTGGCAAACACTTGTAAGCTCGCAACACTTCCCGTTCCTATAGGTAAGTCGATTAGCCAATTTATCGTAATAATGTCCATAAAAGCATGTTGTCTAAAATCTAACGGCATTCGATCAATACGTGTAGTACAGGTTAGGTTAAGTAATACACACTACCTATATAAGAATAGGAGTGTGTTCCATTTGTCCATGGAACTTTTTTTGTATACAAATTATGTAATTTTTTTAAATTATATGCCTTAAGTGTGATATTTTGTCTGGCCGGTAACAGGTTTTGTTAGACTTTTACATACTTTTGGAGTTATTAATGCTTGTTTGCTGGACGATTTTTTTTTATCTTTTCTCACTAATCCATAATCGCCCAACGAATAAATTCTTGTTCGCCGACTTACAATTAAAACAATTATATTTTAAATCGCTAACCGATAAAAATAAAAATAATTACAATGATTGAGTCATGTTGGAAATGGATGAAGCCACCGTTATTGGTTCTTCAAGTGTACTCGACACTGCTATACACACACACAAGGCGTATATTATCGGCTACCTGAATTGATCGAATGCTGTTGTCAGATAATTGTACATTTTTTTTTAAATTTCTTTTAACGATAATAATGTAATTTCTCACGCGCACACAGGAGTACCGCACGGACATACCGGTCACGTCCGGTTCCTGACATTGGTCGGCCATTTGCCGCAAAATTTCTCCAAGCAGCGCCGTCAATCGCTCAACCAGAGGAAGATGAGTTCGGTTGGCAAACTGTTGCTGATATCCGGCGGTGACGGATACGAGGACTTCCGGTCGACGACCGCGTCGGAAGTGGCCGGCCGCGAAGACTCCACAAACCATTTGTTACTGTGGCACGTTTAAAAAAAAAAAAACAATAATAGTACAACTATTAATAGTTATATTATTATACATACCAAAAGCGGTAATAGCGGTAGTACCGGCGTTACCGATGATTTCGAGACAATCGCTGAAGTCACCACGAGCGAACAAGGGCGATTGTAATTATGTAACTTTTGACGTCAGTCGTTGATCTACTGACCCAGTTGTCTTGCCCAAGTGGCCGCTATCGCCTGACCTCAACTAAGGGATTAGAATTAATAGGAAATTTGCGAATTCCTTTTTCAATATTATATCCCGCTGACCTTCACGTCGGTTAGACTAGAAGCATTTAACTAAAATTCGGCCTATATTACTGTATGATTAATTTTCGAGATAATTGTATATTATAATACAGTGATAGTGCGCATCTTCATTTATACTCTACGGTGAAGCCGTCATTTGTTTTTTATGAGTTGGTCAATGAACTCCCTCTTTAAGTGAACAAAAAACGTTCGTTAAACATACTTTAAAACCGTCAATAATTTTATTTACAAAAATTACAATTACAATTTCCACTCCTCAATTGTATACAACCATTGAAAATCTGATCACCGGTGGACAACATTTCGTTGTATAAGGCTTTCTTAGTATAAAAAAAATTGTCAAATAGAAATTAAAAATTTTTTTTTAAATGTAATGCTAAAAATATGAAATCCGTAAAACTCAATTAAAGTTTAGCAAATATTGCCTATTTATTTTATTTTTTAACAATAACTATAAAAAATATAATGAAATATATAAAGGAAAAAATAATAATATGTACACAAAATTAACAGAATCTACGAAACAAGCAAACATTTTAAATCATTTTTTTTACATTGTCCTTTTAAGTGACCAAAAGTATACCATATTACCAGATACCTGCTAATAAAAAATTAAAAAATGTATTGATAACAATTATTGTTAAAAGTTTTGCACTACACCAGTGTGTTGTATAGATACGTACAGTTAATTAAGTATCTCACTACTGAAGTTGTAATAAATAATTTTAAATGAAAATGTATTTGTAGCGAGTTGTTTTTTTTAATTATAAAATATAAATTTAATTTGTTTTTACTTTGTATATTTTAAAAATATTTTGTTGTTTTTTTTACGATAAACAAAATTTACTTTTAAAAAAATGTTACCAAATTGTTACTGAATGTAAATCATTATTATTATTAAATTGTTCAACATAATATATTAAAATAAACTCACATGCATATGCGTACTGTTATGATTAAGTCGTAATTATTCATAAAAACAATATTGTAGTTAATATGTAAATACATTATTATATAGCATATAAGTATATTATTATAATAATTATGTTTTAATATATTATATTTGTTATTAATATTATTATTATACATTATTTGATGTTCTCTATACGGTCTGCATTTTGGAAGTAAATTTCATAGAATTTTGTTATAGCGTTTTCCAACAATTAGGTATTAATATAAAAGTAATTTAAACCAGATAAAAAAGTTTACTTTTTTAAAATTAATAAAAATTGAGTTGTAAAAAAATAGCGAAATTGTCCTCTGAAGTCTAAACTATTTCAATATGCATTTAAATAAAATGAAATAATCTTTCTTAATTCAAAATTGAACAATTATTATGTTATATATAATGTTACAATTATTATATTTTAAATAATAACTGTACACACTATTATTTAAAATACTTCAAACAAAGTAAATAGAGAATCACTATTTTAATAATGAATAAAAAATAACTTATTATTAAAATTAAGATACCTAATTTTTATGCATTTATTGAGGTGAAAAACTCGTGACTCTGTTAGCTATAGTGTTTTTCAAAAGCTTTAAATTGGTGTTATAAAACCGAAAAAGGGTATAAGTGACTTTACAAGAGAATTCTTTTTTATTTGAATATTTATATCTTAATTTTTTAAATACTTATAAAATCAATAAACATAGCCTAAAAGAACGCATTAAATATATCATATTAAATTTATTCAAATAATTTATACTCTTTTGATTGGCGTTACTTCAATGACGGTTTATTAAAATGTATCTATTATTGTTCGAATGAAAAAAAAATGTATAAAAAATTGTCACAATCGCATAACTTAACTATAACTGTTTTTCTTAATTTGATACTTGTATAATATATAACTTAAGACTTTACCGAGTTTTTATTATTATTCATATTTAAATTAACTAAACACAATCTATTTTTTAAGTCGAATGTATCTCTTTACCGATGCCGAGGAAGTTAATCTATTTTAAAAATAGTTTGTGTTTAGTTAATTAAAATAATAATAATAATAAAAACTCGGTAAAGTCTTGAGTTATTTAAAAAAATATCAAATTAAAAAAAAAACAGTTATAGTTAAGTTATGTGATTGTGACAATTTTTTATATATATATTTTTTTTCTCATACGAACAATAATAGATACATTCTAGAATATTCCTATACTTAATGAATACAATTAATTTTTTTCTCGTGCCACGTGGAAAACATAGACTTGTTTCCATCTACCGCAGTTGGGCTTTGTATTAATTTATTATATTTTACAATTGAAGTTCGCCATACACGACGGGTCCACAATCGAATCTCTACGTCGGGCAATAACCATAATTTATTATCAGATTCTGTGTGCTGATCATGTCCATGACATCGGATTGGTTTGAAAAGTAATTACAATTATTGTTATTTATGATCATTGTTAAAACGAGTGTGGAGTGAACGCAAAAAGAGAAAAAAACAATCAAACATTCTATCAATGTAAACGTCATCGTGGTATGAGAGAAACTCTTATATTATTGTAACTAGACTAGTAAGTGTGTACTGTTGTTGTATTTCATAAACGCTATAATATACTAATATACCAAAAAGTAAACAAATTTGACTTAAGCATAGTGACTCCATCTAACCCCCCTCACCCTCAAGTATGGTCACAAAATTCGGAATCGGCGACCCAGGAAACGTATACTTTGACCTATCTCTGAAGTCCTTTCTATACTATTAAATCCAGAATTTTAACTTCAAAGACGGGTTAAACCGGGTATATCTTGATTTAGACTGTGTTTGTTTTTTTGTTTTTTTTGGATTGTCGAAACTCACACGCATAGACAGAGTGTGTATATATGTATTTGGCACCCTTGTCCTACCCCTAGAAAAAAAACCCCAGAGAAGACATTCGATCGCAGTCAGAACACTTTAATTAGTCAAAAATCAAAATCGTATATATGTTTTTAATACTATATTTATTGTATTGTTGTTATTAAAACATTATGGATATCGAACTACGGTATAGCACTTATGTCGAGCCACGATCCTAGGATATCTGAAATGCACTTGCACGGCCAATTACGGGCAGACGTCTATTTATATAACCGTGAGTCGAGTGATTGTCATTTAGAGAATACAATATATTATATAGTGCGCTGTCCGAGTCGACCAAGGTGAAAAAAAAATAATATTAAATTGTCTAACGCCGTTTGCCCGTAGCTAGAATAAAAAAACGCATACAATACATTTTAGAACTTAATCGGTTTTCGGCAAAATAATAAGTTTAAAACGTTATATACGTTTTGAATGGTCTAAATAAATAAAAATTTAATATATATGAAAGTGCAGGGTAGCTAATGTTGAAAATGTTGCTTAACATATAAATATGTTTCAACGGTTACAAATATTAAAATTTGAAACAACATTAACGATATTGAAGTACACAAATTTGAATAACGTACATGATAATATGACGAATAAAAAAACATGATTACTAATATTCAGCAAAAGCAAACGGATAACCAAGTGTTTAATGGTAAATATATTTAATCTAAAACAATGTCCAGACTTTATTAATCGATCCTGAATCAGTTGATTTAACTCTGCCTATCGTAGGATTGGTTAGGATAACATTAATGTAAAAAATTCGAATTTTAATCTATTTCAGCAAGTTAACTGTTGTAGCTTCCATGTCTGTTTAACCCTTTAACAAATTATATTATTCTAAAAATTGTCAATAATAACAATATTATCATTAGAGCTGGAGATAAAACAAACGTTTAAATCTCAATGATTAATCATTTTTTTAATGAACTTTTATTAGTTTGTATTTTATCGTTAATAGATAGTTAATGTATTTCTAGTAATTTTCTTGAACCAAATGATTGAATAAACAGCGGAGAAATCGGGTAACCGTCGAATACATCAAAATATGTCATATCACATGTTTTGTTAAAATTCCAAAACTTAAAAGTGATCATATTTGTATTGCAGGAATAGAGGTATCAATAAAATAGATGTGAACCAGGATATAATAGATTTCTTTAAAAGTAAACGGTTTTTTTAGCCCTATATAGTATATGCCAATCAAAATTGTAATATTATAATTTGCGAACGTGATCTCTATCATGTACACTGCCCAGTGGAACACCATCTGTAAATTATACAAAACCTACTAGTCCGCAATAACGTTTTATGGTATAGTTGTATAGTAATAGTTAAAACATTATAATGGCCTTCGTTTTATGGCCAACGTTTAATTGAACATTATTCAACATATTACTGCCCGTACAAACAAGTTTTGCATAGTCATTGCGAATTTATTTAACAAAAAATCGTTAATGAATGTATTTCTAAGAGAAAAATTGTCGGTCGCAATCGCATTTATGCGCATAATATGCATTTGGAAGTGTAATGGGCTAGGCTGCACCAAATAGTATCATTAATCAATATAAAAGTGTAAAATAGGCTAGATCAGAAACACAGAAAATAATTAAATTGGCTGGAAGGGTTTAAATTTTAGTATAAGCATTTTGGTTGGGTTGGACTTTAAAAATGTATACATCTTACCGATAAGCTGTTATTAAAAAATCACAACCGAATGATAAACCTATACAATTAAAAAAAGTTAATACGTTTGAATTTTTTGTACTTAATATTGATTTTATAATTCAGTATTGTTCGGTATATTATTTATTTGTGCTATATTTCTGTTTTATCAGAGTTTTTTGTTATTAGTTCATTTTCGCAACACTTAAAAATAATAGCATCCATTTTATTATTTTTATTGAAAAAGACAACCTGACTTACAAGTGAAAAAAAATAAGTAGACTTTGAGATATCGTTTTAAATCGAACTATTAAGTCTATTTTATGGTCATTTTTACACAAGTCTAAAGTTTACAGAATGTAGAACACATTTATGCATATTTAATTTTAAAATTTTCAAAAAGAAAAACCTTTTTCCCTAGTCCATTTTTTTCAGTTTGTTATTTACAAGACCTACCTATTGTAACCAATGTTCAACTAGGAGATCCTAAATTTGAGGCTAAAAAATACAAAAAAACAAAATCCACCCCTGTGGAAGGGTGAGAACTGGGTATAATTTAGTTTAAGCTATTGTCGTATAAAGACACACCAAATAAATATTTCTTATAAATGTCAACTCGTTCCGACCATTTTACTCAGTCAAACTCGAGAGTTGAAATGCTCGTCTAAATTTTTTCCTAATCCAATAGTAAAAACTAGCACAGTCTAAGCCAAGAACAGTAAGAAATTAGCAAAGTTGTGTCAGAAGAATTATTAAAATATCTAAAAGTGATTTCATCACAACCAAACGCTTCGGTGTGTGAATCTGTGGATAGTAAGAAATGAAAACAGTTAACAAACTAAAGTTAAAGAAAAATGTGAATAAAGGCTTTATAATATAAGCCTGCTTATGCTTATATGCGTTAGGTCTCAAAATAATATAAATTGTTAGGTTAGTTACTTGGTCGATATTAATTTTATTCTCAAACGTGTTACCTATAAAATGGAAATAATAATATGTTTGTTGTGTAGGTATTAAATTATAAATTAGTATAATAATTGTAAATTTTAATATTCGTATTATCGTTCTCACTGGTAAACCTATTAAAAAAAAAATACCCACAGTATCCAAGCATTTCGGTTTCTAATTAATCTGATCGCTATAAAATTAAAAAAAAAAATACAAATCCACTACTAGTTCAATTAAATTTTAATCTCGTGTAATCAAGTCATAATTAAGTCGTAACTCGTCATTGTTAATTTAATGGCGACGTGAAACGTCAAAGGTTAACAGTAATTCGTCATTAGTCATAACCTCTTGAAGTTAAAAAATGTAAATTGTCGTCAATTTTCGTCGCTTTTATATATAATGAATGTTGTGTTTTTATCGCACATTCAATAATGAAGTACATTGTAGATCGCGCATTGTTTTTATCAGTGCGTGTAAATTATTTTGTATTTTAATATTATTGTTATTATTATGTAACACATAATAACTACTGACAATAGTCACTGTTGAGCTGATTATAAAAAATGAATAATATATTAGAACTCACTTTTTAATAATATTTTTAATTGATGCAATTAAGCGGTTCGAAAATTGCAATTTACCGGTTTAGACTGAGTTACGAATATAATAGCGTTATAATACATCTGCATTTGGTGTAGCGACAATATTAAATTATAACGTTGTGAATATCTTATATAAGTAAGTAGTAACTAGCTACTAGATAGCAGGAGGATCTCTTCCTCGCGGTTAAGCAATATAATTATTAATATTGTATTTAACCGGTAATATGTTGGCGCACGAGACGACGGTTTCTTTGATGTATGTGTGTAACCGCTGCTGCCTGCGCTCAGAGGTCTGAGGATGAAATGGTCAGGTGGCAAAAATAGGCTATTTAAAAAAAATGTTTTTACCGGCATCTCATTAGTAAATGTTTACGAGTGTACGTGTAAAATTTCAACTTAAACCATTTTGTACATAACTGTAGTCATAGCCAAGTGAACTGGACAAATTTTGGGTTCTCTGTTATTTTGCAAATAATAATTTGTTTCAAAACGTCATTAATTTTGTTCGGTTGTTGAAGTATAAATTAAAAAAATACCAAAATAATTTACTGTTATGTCACATATTGTCATACAGTATCAATACAATTAATTTACATCTACGCGTTATGATTATAACTTATCTGACTTTTAAATTATAGGAACTGTGCATCTGTTGTGCTCAATTGTAGTTTTACAAATTAAATTTAAAAAAGCCAGCACATTGGTTAAGAGCATAGTGACCATTATATCTCAATGTGATAAAATCCCTTTCATACAATAGCTTCGATGCGAATTTATAGATGGTAGGAAATTCACAATCGATAAAAACATTGTGAATACAAAGGTAGATCTAGATGCACCTTAGAAGTTTACTACGGTCAAAGTGTAATTTTTCCATTTTTTTTTTTTTTTGGTTTTCCTCAATATAATAAAAATTTAACAACAGATTTTTGAAAAAAATCGTTATGCTATGGTTTCACTCTTGATCTACCTTTGGTCTAATTTTCAAATCTTAAAACTATACCTAAAATACATCATTGTAAAAACAATACCAAAAATCCAGTTGAGCTGTGTAAAATCCGTCATTGAGAAAATGACCTGATAATATTATGAGGGATGCAAGTTGAAACAATGTTGCGCTGTTAAGTTTTTTTATTTTGTTTATAAACATAAAGCAGTTAATATTATTATTACAAATAGTCAGTTAGAAAATAGGTATTTTTGTGAAATATGAAAACTAGATAAAAGTAGGCCGTATTGATGCCACTCAATAGACTATACTTGAGATTATTTGAAAATGGGAAAGGGAAATTATTTTTAGTGTACTATCGAATTATATTATCTAGGTAGCGTAGGGCCGATTTTTAATTAATCGCGCCCCGTCTCGCGGACCACTGCGCGGCGCGCGACGGCCGTCGATCGTGGCTCCATCTGTGGGCCGCAGGCCGCGGACGCCGGGTCACATGGTCTGTGACCGACAAATTGAATACCGTCTGGCGGCGGTCCCGCGGTGATCGGTCGCGTTCGCCACTCTCCCGGCCAGTCGCCAACCGCACGTCGCGCCGTTTATTAGCCGAAGACGGATAAATAAGTGTGGGTACATCGCGCCTTCTCGATTCGGTATTTACCGCGGACGTCCGAAGAAGAAAAAGAGGAAGAAGAGTAATTTACTAACGCGTTTTTTTTTTTTTTTTATTAACTCGATTTGGTTTTTTTAAGCGCTTCAATTGTTTTCGCGAGCCATGCCGGCGGTCCCGGACTCGCCGCGATAGCCGGTCCGGACACGACATGCGGTCACCGTGCGAGGCGGGTACCGGCGTCCGGCGCGACGGACCCTGACGCCGCGGTACCCCGGGACCGGTACCATTGCTACGGAAATGGCCTGAAGTCATGGTGAAACGGTCGTGCGCGTACTACTGCAGTAGCTTGAGCGGCGGCAATCGGAGCGTCGCGGTCGTACTGGTGTTGTCGTACCTGTTGTGCGGTGTCGCGTTGGCTTCGTCGCTCGGACGCCGGTCGTCCCTGTTGGCCGAACAACAACGGTACAACGGTTTTCGGGACGCGGAAGAAGTGGTGGCGGCGGCGGCGGCGGCGGCAGCCAGCAGGGCCGAGAGGTCTGCGGGCAACTTGTCGCACATTGCGGGCACCGCGAGAAAAATTAAAATGTTCATCAAGAACAGATACCTTCAGCTGTACCCGGACGGCACGGTGAACAGCACGGCCGAGGATACCAGCGATTACGGTAAGAGCCCCCCCATTCCACCCACACCCCCTAATTGGCTTGGTACACTTACCCGAAAAGAAGGACAATTTTTTAGCAAATTTGAGCAGTCTACCTAGTTTTCTTACATTTATAATTTACACCCAAGCGACATTATTTATTTTTAAAAATACTAAAATTAGTACCGATGCTAATGCCCAAACACCTTCCTTTTTTTTTTCTTATAGGTTTAACGAAAGTATAGTTCTTAAAAACTTAATATTTAATTTAAAAAGGCAATTTTTGGGCAAAATACTAATTCAAAGGTTCAACTATGACGTGTTTTTATTAGCTCAGTGACCCGGACTCTATTTTGGTAGTTAATTTATTTAATATATTCTCTATTATTGGCTTAATAATACTATTATTTTTTAAATAATGGAACTTCAGGAAAGTTCTTTCGTCGACCTTTTTTTGATATTATTAACCAAACATTAAACATTTATAATTTAATTCTGAAACCTTTTTACTTTTTTAAGTGCTTGTATTTAAAGTAAAGTTAAAGTTTTAAAAAAAACGACGACAAACCTAGTTAAAGGTCTCCTCGTTTTAACGGTACCAACCTTTTTTTTTCTATGACCATTTCGCTTTGACCTACACGCTTTGCCATAAACAGGTTTTTATGATTATTTTTAAAGGGTATGAAGTCCTCTTAAGAAAACTGATAGAATAGCAAAAGCTATACAAACAAACGACCAATCATTTTTTAATTTAAAATTTAAAAAAAAAGTACGATACATTTTTGTTTATTTTATTTTGGATACTACTTATTTAGTCTGTAAATAATTAATCGATTAAAAGTGAATTAAAGTAAAGAAAATAATTACCAGCTGGGGGGTTGTTTCTGTATTGTTAACCCCCTTCCCTTAAATTTTAAATTCAGTCAGTGCAAACAGAGATTTCAGAAAAAACACAAGTTCAAGTACTCAATATAAAATATATAAATTTAAAATTTGTAATTCGACCAGAGAATATTCGTTAAAAATATAAATTGAGCTAAAATAAAAAAAATTAAAATATCTTCTAATGTAATTATCAATTTGGTTTTGTTCCATGAACATAATTGCGATAAGCTATAAGATTTCTTTTTTTAATATTGGGTTTTTACATAAATTGTAGATTGTAAGATCTGTCGTGTTTCAAAATCTGAACTCCCAATTTGCTATAGGTGTACGGGACCTATAGAAAATTTATAGATTTTTGAATTTAACTGGTGCAAATAAAACAATTTCGTGTGGCAACGTTTAATGTGAAAAACGTCTATTGGCCATGGACACATACAAATTGATTGTACTTTAATAAATTCTAATTTATGGCGTTTATTATATCAATTAAATAATTTCACGTCCGGGCACATCTTACATTAGCCCCGATTAAATTTAATAATACAATAAATAATAATGATTCAATTTTAATATTCTACTCCGTTCATTTAAAAGTTATCTCATAAAAATGTCAAAAACAAAATTTAAATTTGCGCCAATTACAGATTTTCGACAATTCCATTTTAAAATGTACTTGTGATTTCAACTTGTTGTGTATACATATATTATTTATCTTTAAGAAAAATACATTAATAACTGGTATGCGCCTACGTAACGATTAGTTGGTATATTTTGCGAATGCTGCACAATGTGTACTAGGTACAAGTGCACTTGTAATTACTTTGCACAACGTAAAAAGTGTGTCGCGTTGCACAAATAAAAAATAATTCCATAAACCCACCTGTAATAATTGCACTACCTGTATTGCACTCACTTTGGCGGGAGTTTTGTACGTCGGATGCTTTTTTATTTAATTGTCGCTCAAATAAAACAGTTAAAATGTCTTTGTTCTCCAATCAATGAAACGTTTGTGCGGTCAACAACGGGTTAAATGCGATTTTGGCGCCACTAAATTTCGCTCAAGACATTTATTAGCTCCTATATAGCTGGGAAGGTATTTTTTTTTTTATAATGATGGGTTTTTTTTTTTAAAGACAAGAACAGTTTCTTTCTGTGGACCGATTTACTCGTGTAGCATCTCTATCGATCCGTAATCGCACTTTGTCGGGTCAAAAAAGAAGTTTGAACTTTTTTGGTTTTTTTAATAACGTTTTACGCGAAATTGTAAGACTTAAGAGGCCTATCGGGTACGCCAGATTTGTTGCTTCTACCCAATCTTATGTGATTTATACTGTACTTGCTTCGGACTGTGCTGGTTTAGGCGGATTTTCATTTGGACTGTTCAGTAGGGAGATTAAGTAAGGAAATCCCTTGTTTTTGTGGACTGCAGTTTTCCGAATTTGTAAAAGTCTAAAAATGATTTTCTCCACTTTATTAAAAAACATTTATGTATGTATTTTCACTCTTTAAAGGCTACTCTTGGAAAACAAAATAAACAGCAAATTATCACAATTTGTTCTCTCTGCTAATGTACTATATGTAATTATCGTGGTTTTTATGTAATATATAACTATGTTATTAAATGTACTATAAGGTAGGCCTATTACACGAATTCGGGCTCAAATAGTGTTGGTCAAGTCGATCGGCGGACGCGCGTGTGAACCGTGTTCTACCTGGGTGTTTTTTTATTTAGAATATTTTATTGAGAACGATTAGTACGGAGGTGTATTGAGAAAAAGAGATAGTCGGTGGAAGACGGGTAATAATTATTGGTCGAATAATAATATAATAGCCGCGGTCAAGCGAGGTGCAAATGTTATAAATTAAGTTACAATGCAGGCGGTTCTTCGGTATAGACATAATGCTATAGTTTTAATCGCCGTTTATCTATCCGTCCAATAGTAGTAGTAGTAATAATAATAATAATGATAATAAATAGGTAGGTAGTACCGCGACCACCTTAAGACATCTTAATGGAACGATTATTCTTCGTTTTGTATCTAAGCCCGCAAGGAGTCTGTATCGATATTATCGGATCTGACGACTTCCGAACATAATAATATAATACAACCGAAAATGATTATGTTAGCCGATAACGTTTCATATGGAAATTTAGAGTGCGTTTAATGCGACTCTGCCGGTGCACTCTATTGAAAAATTCGCTCGTTATTAGAGTATATTACACGGTATTGGTTTGATAGAACTAATTATTGATTCGGTCACTAACGGTGCAATTTGAATATTTTAAAAATATTGTTTAGTAGCTATAATTAGATATCCGACGAAACACTGAATAGATTAAATCACAATGGTCGCCGATAAAAAATTACACGAGCTCAGTGCAGCCACAAAAGGCGTCAACGGACCAACATATTTTTTTAGTTGTAAAAATCATCATCAGGCGCCGTTTTGACATTTCCAAATGTTGATCAAATATAATTTGCTAAACATTTTTTCATTGAGTAGGTAAACGTGTTATTTTCGGGAATATTTCAATGACCATGGTCTACTATACCAATATCAACACCTTTGAATGTATAAATAATTCTTTCTTCCAGAGCAGGAACTTTATCAGTAATTGGTATAATAAATTTCTTACAAACTTTGTGTTCACAGGGTGTACTTGCTTAAGCAAATCGATAATCCTTGGAGAACAGCTGATAAGAGATGATAAGCACCATTTACTTCTGAGCGTTTCACTTTTCTTAACGTTCCTATTTCCGACACACAAATATTTTTCTTTAATTTCAAATATCAAAACATTATAATTAGTTGAATTTAATTATTATTACAACTAACGACATAATACCTATCTGAAGATCTACGAAACGCGTATTTTTCGAAGCGACCAAATGGATTTCGTAATAGTTTATTATAAAGGTCAATGTGTTTGGAAATGAACATTGAGTCACATTTTGTCACAATTCAATAATATAATAGACATGAGTCGATACTCTACATTAATTTCGATAAATACATTATAATACGATTTAAATACTAAACTCGTGTTGCTCTACCAAAAGGAATACAAGGTCCTCGTCAGCTGTACCAATTAATTGACGCCAAATAATAACTGTGTTGAGCAGTATTCGTTGTAAATTAACTCTTAAGTTACACCAATCAGTAATATTTATTCAACTCGTTGAGCAGACTTTGAGACGAAAATAAAAACATACAACTATTCTGACAAAAATAAATCTACTGGAAAATTTGCTTAGTAAAGGTGTGCGATTTCGTGATATCGGCTGATCCGACTTGTGTCCTGTAATCTTGGAACTCTCAAGTCATAATATTATTTGTGTAAACGAATCAATCCTATTCTGAATGCGAATACTATATGTCTAAAGTTCGTGAACTATAAAGGAGGGAATACGACACTATTTCAGCAGCATAACAATTATGTTTAATTTGAATAATTTTTCAATTAACTTGAAATTTTAGTTTATATCCACGTATGTCTTGCGCATTCTTGTTTTTTAATGATTTTTTCAACGTGGACCTCATCTTCGCATACGCTTGGCACAAATTCAGCAAAACTAAAGCGTTCGTTTCTTTGGCATTTTTCGCCACTTGATTTTCTTTTTCTTGTTCGCCGGTTTCGGATTCGAGCCGTTCACCGAGGTAGCCGTTACTTTTGCTATAACCGTATCGATAAACGTGTCCGATTTATAGTCTTTGGAAATCGGATTATAACTGTTTGACAAACGCTTTTTGCCAGGGCTCGCAAGTTCTTCTTTGGCGGAAGGGTCCGAAGGATCGGTGGGTTTGTGGGGCCGACTCGAAATCACTCTACTATTAGGTTTTCTACTATTCGGATGTCTTTTCTTTGCTAACATTTCTGGACGAGTGTCCGTCTTTGGCGCCTGCCTCGTACCTAGTTGGTGGATCCTCTCCGCTGGAAACTCTAAGTCATGGCACACCGATTCTTCAATCTTAGGTAATGTCGACGGTATTACTTTGGTTTTTGTTTCGGATCTATGAGTTTAAAAAAAAAAAAATGTTAAACGATTTTTATTACCACACTCGATAAATCCGGAGGGGGTCGCAATATTAAGAAGTAAGCAAGCTACAGTGTGACCAAAACGACGAAATTACATT